CAACAATTTGTGTAGGAGCTTTGCTTCTTCTAAACATTTAACATGTGATTTCTTATTATTAATTTATTTTATATTTTTTATCACGTGTTTATGTAGTTTATGATATGAAATATSGATAAATTTATTGATGTCTTAAAATTTATTTTTGTATAATAAAATATTTTTTACAAATGTATACAGTATAATTGTATAGAACTTCTAATCTTTAGGCCTTTTATAATATGTGCGTATATTGTCTTTAATGCCTTAATCTTTCATTAATTTTCTAAGTTGCTGACATAAGATTCTTTTTGTTTTGATCAATTAATATTTGTATTTGTTTAATACTAGTCTTTTTTGAGTATTTAAACCACAGTGCTTTAATATACTTGATTACTTGAATATTAGGTTTTATCCATATAATTGTATAAACTTATTTGTAAAATGTTTATGCCAAAAATTATCAGGACTTAAAATTGTCATTCAATACAATATACACATAATAAGGGCATATATAGAGTGATTCTTTTATCAAACAACACTCATTATTTAAAAAAAGTATTGACTTTTTTCAAAATATTTTTTTACACAGTTTCAAGTTGTTAAAAAACTAACGTTTTTATTTAAAAAATATTTTTTTWAAATATTTTTCATCCTTATCATTTTTTAAGTTTTTTACCTTTTTGAATGACAACATAGTTTTAATTTCATATTCCAAGGCAGAATATTTTTTGAAGTATTTTGATTCTTAAAAATCGAATTTAGATGAGTAGTTTATGAGTTATAACTTATAAGTATTTAAAGGTTAGATTGGCAGAGTGGAGTGGTATAGGGTTACCCCGCAAAATGTTTGTCCACTACTCCGCTTGTCTAAACTTTAAATACTTATAACTCATAAACTACTCGTCCTAAATTTGATTTTTATGAATCAAAATACTTAGAAAAATATTCTGCTTTGGAATATAAAATTAAAACTCTATSTTTTCATTCAAAAAAGTCAATACTTTTTTAAATAATAAGTGTTGTTTGATAAAAGAATCACCCTGTATATGTATGGTTTTAAATATAGAGTTATTAAAATTTAAAATAAGATATTCTGTATTAAACCATTTATAAAGAAATATTACATAATTGTTTTTAGAACTAATCATTATTTAATAAAAATGTATTGACTTTTTATAACAGTTTTCTTAGAAACTATCCAACCACTTAAAAGGCACTTCTATTTTACAATAAATCTAACATCAATTGCTGMAAAAATAATTATAAATATTATAATTTTAGTCAATTTTATAATTTAAGTTGTAAGTCAATAATATTTAATATGATAAAAAAAATATTTTAGGTATAATCTTCTTGGATGAAATTGACAAAATCGGTGCTGTGCCTGGAATTCATCAATTGAGGGATGTCGGAGGTGAAGGAGTCCAACAAGGAATGTTGAAAGTAATTTTCAATTATTAATTATTAAATATCTAATAAAAGTTAAATTAATTTATACATTGGTGGATCAATATTTAGTAATAGATGTTTTAAAAATAAACTAACAATGTTTATTTAAAGTTATTGCAAAATGTATTTGTTTTGTTTTAATCTCTTGTATTCTCCGGTGTACATGAAAAAAACCATCTGTAGAGTCTTATTTTTTCATTTTGGGTAACTCCTCCCAGCTCAAAAAAGGTTTTATTACTCAAGAAACTAGACATTTATGTTTTAGTTATATTTATTGATTATACTTATATCAATTTTTTGTATAGTATTTCAAAAGTCATGACATTTTAGATGTAGAAGATGTATTTGAATATAAGCAACCATTAATTTAAAATGAAAATGTACTCAACATTTTTAAACATTAAAAAACTAAATTAATATTGATTTACTATCTTAWCATATTTTTTATAAATTTACTTTTTACTTTATTTATGAGCTATGCACTGTAAATATTAAAAATAAAGATTATTCTGAGAACAATAAATTGCATAAACTATTAATATTAATAAATACCTTTCTCATCAAAATTGAACATTGTACTAGGAAAAGATCAAGAGAGATTACAAATACTAATATACAACTATTATAAACTATATTATTACATAATACTTAACTAATTATCTTTAAAAATATAATAATATTATTAAAGTTTTTGTATGGYAATTTTCATCATATCCTGATTTTTAAAAACAGTAATATTATATTATGTATTGTAATGCTTATAGATGTTGGAAGGTACTGTTGTTAATGTACCAGAAAAAAATACAAGAAAACTTCGAAATGAAACAGTTCAAGTTGATACTACTAATATCTTATTTGTTGCTTCTGGTGCATTTACTGGTCTGGATAGACTCATAAGTCGCAGGACAAACCAAAATGTAAGGAATAAACAGCTTATTCATATTATATTATCTTAAATTGGAATTAATTTATAAATTTTTCAGAGTCTGGGATTTGGAGCAGAAATTGATAATGAAATGGGAAGTAGAAGAGCTGCTGCTGAAGCTGATCGTGTTGCCTCAACAAACTCATACACTGATATTGAAAAGGAAAATGCTGAACGAGATGGATTATTAAAAAAAGTTGAACCAAGAGATTTAATTCAATTTGGAATGATACCTGTAATTATATATTTATTACCAAAATTAATATAACATATTGATAAGATTTATTGATGTGGGATCCTATTTAAAGTTTAATTTGGATTTTAATATATTATTAAAATATTAATTTTTTCATATAATAGAAATAATCATAATAAAATATTCTAAATTACTGAATTACATTATATTTTGATTAAACTATTGATAATTTATTTACTATAGTTATTTAAATTAAATTATTCACAAATTACTAGAAATAATAAAACATTTTAAATCAAATTATTCTTATTAAGTACACAATTTTAATTTATGTAAAAAGGAATAGGTAAAGGAAAATAATATATTTATTTTRTTGTATAAATATTTTATTTTTATTCAATATTAATTTTATAATATTATTCCTAGTCTTTACCATATTCTCACTAGACTATGCCACTATAATGTTGCTTCTTTAATAATTTTAGTTTGGATTGGTAAAATATTGCTTTATAATTGATAGAATTTATCATTAATCAGTACTTCAAAACTATTTATTAATATTTAAGTATTTTAACATTGCTATTCTCTGGTAATTTGACAGAAATAAAGGTTTATTTTGTTATGAACGATGTGTTGTTAAAATATAAATTAAAATAAAATCTAATGTTTTATTACAAATACTTTTAATATAGTATATTTAATACATGTTATTTTTTTTTTAACAGGAGTTTGTGGGTAGATTTCCAGTTTTGGTCCCATTCCACTCCTTAAATAGAAACTTGCTTGTACGAATTCTTACCGAGCCGAAAAATAGTACAGTCAAGCAATTCAAATTACTGTTTGGATTAGACAAAGTTGAATTAACATTTACTGATGAAGCACTTAAAGCTATTGCCTCACAAGCCCTAGAAAAAAAAACTGGAGCTCGAGGATTACGAGCTATTGTGGTAATTTTAATTCTAAATTCTTATTTTGTATAACATTTGAGCACTGGAATAATTAGTAACTTAAGCTTTAACATTTATTTAAAAAATACAGTGAACACAATTTAATTTCTTAATTATTTCAATTAAGTATAAAAGTCAAATCAATAAAAAAAAATGTGCTTACATATTATAATTTTACTAGACTGTTGTACCTAATAAACTTTTTGTAATAGTTCAATAATAATTTATATGAAATATTACTTACAATTTCTGCAGGAATCCATTTTGTTGGACCCAATGTTTGAAATACCTGGATCTGATGTAGTTAGTGTTCATGTCACTGAAGATGCAGTGAATGGAAAAATGAATCCACATTGTATAAGAGGCCGCCCAATTGATGAAGGAGATGCCAAAATGGATACAAGAGCTAAAGTTGAATGAATTAACACTGTTTTAAAAAAATGTTTATTTATTATTTAATATTGCCAAAAACTACTAAAGTTTGTTAAACATTTATAAAAACCTTCATTCAAGAAACATCTATTTCTTGTTAAATTAATTTTGTTTTTTGTCATTAAATTATTTTAATATTTAGGTTTAAAATGTTTTGTATATTGCATTACAAGAGTATAGATACATAGTTTATGTATTATTTGTGATACTATATGAGATATATAAACAAGTATTCATAATTAAATCAATTCATAACAATAATACTAATAATTATTTTACTTTAGAATACCTAGTTATGTTATTAATAATTGACTTATTTGTGGATATGTCTCAACCATCGATTTATATTAGGTTCTTATGTTGTATGTAAAATTACTATTATTATGCAATATTAATATTTATTAAATTTAAAAAAATTAAAAAATTTTCTTTTAAAGTCATTAGTTATKAAGCAATAAAATGTGTGCATTATGTACTCACTTATGTAAAKAATTCTATATTCATTAATATTATTAATAATTGTTGAACACAGCTCACAATTATAAATACTGAATCATAGATAAGTAATAACTTAATATCTTAAATTTTTATATGTATGCACTATAGATTACTGGATTACTGGATATACAATAGCCATTGATAAGTTGGTGCTGAGTGCATGGTTAACTTGTCAGTTTGTCATTGTATATGAATAATTAAATTTAAATTCGAAGAAAAATTATCGCCAACAAAAAATGATTCTGACTGATAGCCAATATATTTCAGTTATGTATTTATATTGTTACTAAAGTAATCTATAATTAAGTAATAATCTCGAAGGAAACCTCTCTATCAACCACATTGTCATTAAATTCCCAAAATACTTTGGAGCAAGGAATATTTTCAACATCCATCCGACTTGCTTCCAGCGAAGAATTTTTCATTATATTTATTTACACTACAAATCGTAAATATTTTTAAATACTACATTCCTGTTTATATTTGTTACGATTATAGGCTAATAACCACTAGATGTGGTAATGTGGCTAACTGAAGCCTTTATCCTATGATAATAATCCTTATAGGGCAAAGATACAAAATTATTTACAAATTTTAGCGATTTTAATGAGTAAAATATGATATAAATAATCAGTATATGAGAAATTAATTTGAACTTCATGTAAAATTGTTAAGCTTTTTGAGCGGATGAATCTTTATTTATCGACACTTTACAATTTCAAAAGTCTATAAATAATATAAATAGCATAATATGCTGACAGACTACTGTATAGRTGTAAAGTCCATGTGATCAATAGTTCCAAAATAGTTACATCATGTACATATGGAAAATGATGAAATAGACATTGTAAAAAATTGAAGTCACACTTAAGAGTTTAGATCAGTGGTTCTTAAGCTAAGGCCCTCTGGTGGTCTCCAAAACTCATGCAAGGGATCAGGGTCACAATTAGTRTTAAAATATTGATTAATAATGATTATCAGTGCCGTAGCCAAGCTTTTCTAGGTAAGATTGTTTTATGGTATTGCAAGGCTTAAAGTTCTAAYGGTAGGAACTGTYGAGTCTGGTAATAGTTTGATATTTCAGGAAAGGGACTTACTAAGCCCTTAGACCTTTAGTTACGGCATTGTTGAYTATGCTAATAATATGAGAAAAGGTAAAAGGTATTAAAAGAAAAAGTTATTCGATAGAAAATATTGATGAGTGGTCAGTGATTTCTAAAAGCCTTTCATCAGCCATCAGGGGTCGGTGTTCTACAAAAATTAAGAAGTGCAACCTTAAACTTTCTTAATATATTGTATAATAATGATTGATCTAATAGTTAGGTACACAAACACAAATAAATTCGATTTTACTAAAAGTTGGTTTTGCATTTGCATTGTGATTACTGGTTATTATTATTTTTAACTTCAYAATTTACGAGTAATCATAAAGTAGGTATAGTAGGTACTTATCACCTATCTTATAAATTATAGACAATAATAATTTTGAGGATTTCACCCATCTGTTTTATATTTTATTATTTTTTAACTTTATATTACACTTTAAAAATAAAAATATTGTAAATTTAAATGGATATCATTAAATTACTCACATCTATAATGTTTGTAATAAATAATTTTACTTTAGATCGCTAGATACCTAATATCATTCAAAAATTATAAATCAAACATTGCTTTAGCTTTGCGTAGTACCTACGTGGGATKAAAAGAGAAAACAAAAACATATTATGCTAACATAGTGACATCCTCTCAAAAAATTAGCTAATGTCAAATAATGACATATCATAATATTTAATTGGCTATTCAGTATTTTATGCTAAATAATTCAAAACATCAGTTTTTTTACGGATGTTTTTWAAAAAAAAGAGCGTGTTGCAATAGTACATAGGTACGAATAAAGTGAAACTTATTTACAGAGAGTATAAAAAAAATGGTTACCGACCATCACGGTCAAATATACTTATTTATATAATATTTATATTGGAAAAATAATTAAAATAACATTTTCAATTGAAATTAATTTGTTTTTAATTATTATTGCACAAATATAAAACAAATGGACCATTATTCACTACTGTCGAAACCTTGTAGTGTCGAGTAAGCCACGCTTTTTGGTCGTAATAACAGCTGATCCCATGAATCCGACTGCGCTATCGCATCTATAAAGATGTTTCACATCAAAAATGTTTAGCAGGTATAATAATTTATATTGAATTAKTTCTCAATAAAGTACATAAGTTTTAACAACCAATTCATTTTTAAAGCTTTAGAACAATTAAAAAATAATGGCTTGTTTGTTTTATTTTAGTCATAAAAAAATAAACGTATTAACTTAGTTTTCTCATCGAAACATTCGAAACTCTTGAGTGGAGTAGTTGACGCTCCAGATATGTCAGCGAGGATAAATTTTAATGTTCCCGGTGCTAATTTCCGTAACTTTTATTCTTCCGGTCCGTAATTTTGTGCAACAAATTATTTGTATAATGAACCCGTTTTGTGTATGATGATATTATATAGCTGATGGGACCAATTACATCTAACCAATTTCTTTTGTATCTAACTATTTTTATTTTTTATTATATATAATTATTTTTTTCAATGTTATACATKTTATCTACATTTCAAGGGCCTGTCCGGYTTATTACTATAAATAAATAAATAAATGGCATRATTCTAGTTWAGCCCCCAGCGATTTTTTGAAACTTTTTTTTTGAAAAATGAGTGTTTTTGTATGCTTTTTGTAATGACACTTTAAAAAAAGTCACTCAATCTTCTAATGGGAGTCATGTTCAAAAAAACTTCAAAATACTCGATTTTTCATAAAATCGATAAAAGCTTTTTATAAGCTTGTAATATTAAAAATTGCTTTTAATCAATTAAACCAATGTATCTAAATCATATGATCCATTTAATATGTATACAAAGGTGCTCGAGTATTGGTAACGCTTGGGCACATCTTGTTGAGAATCGGCCAGACCGACGAGGCATATTAGCATATCCTTGTGTGTTGGTGGAGTATTGCTGTTGCCGTCAAGACATTTTAATCACTGAACACGTCTTTATTATTCACTGTACAAGAGGATATCAGATGGGTAAGTAGATCTTTGATCAAAGTCCAGAATTGTTATTATTAATTGCTGATATTTTTTGCCGGTTGCATTCATGAGGGAATGCCAATAAATAAATTAGATGATTATTTAAGTAACTATTGATAATTTTAGTATTATACCTAGCTTTATATTTTAGTATTTTACTATATAATTGACTGTACATTTTTATGTTCAATATCAAATTATATATAAATATAAATTTGRTGACCATTTTTTGTAATTAAAATTTAATTCGAACGAATATCATACAACATTTTAGGTATATATAAAATTCCTTGACAGGCTTGTCAGGAAGACGCTACACTGAGTACACTGCAGGCATTTGTAATCGTCTTTCACTCCGTCTTACAAACGTACAACATTGAAAATTGTACGTTCACAATTATACATTTTACTTTGAAATTTCTAAACTAAAAGTGCAATTATCTCTTATAATAACATTTTAAGGCAAGGTTACAATGCAAGGCACCTCGGAGGATTTTATTGATAATATTATTTGTAAGTAAGCTATGATCATTTTAAAATTTACAAACAAATAATAGTTTAAAAAATGATCATAACTTACTTAAGAATAATAATATCAATAAAATCCTTCGTAATTAAATTATTTCCTTACGATYTTTAAGTGGTAAATTCACTGTAATTGTAGATTACATATAAAATACTTCATTACTGAAATTATTAATCGTAAATTCATTATTAATTTATCAAATAAATACAATTAATAGTGACGATTTGTAGGCCCGGTCTCGTGTGTTGGTATCTGGGAAAGAGGTCAACACACGTGGTTAATGATGATTATCCCAAGCGTTGCCCATGTATTAACACTGCTATTAACGACAATTGGTGAAGAAAAATAATTAAATAAATTATTTCCTAAAAATTCCTATTCAGTTGGGAATTAAACTTCCATCAGCTTTATGAGACATGATCTCATTCTCATAACTTGATTCAAATGACGTATTAGTYCGACGTTGGTCCGACAAGATATGATCTGAACGCTGAACGGGTAGGTACTGGGTATAGTGGGTTATAGGTATCCCACAAAACAATGAGGAAATTTTAAAGCGATAAAAATTTTAAACATTTGATAACGGAGAAATTCGGACTATTTTTTTTGTCAAACGAAGCTTTAAACGTTGACAAACATATCCACCTGGGTGTATGCAAGTGCAGCGCTTCGGTGCAAACATAAATTGGCACCCTCGTGAAGCCCAAAGGTCCAACTCACTGGAAATATGGGAGATAGATCCTCGTGATTAACAGGGATATAAACTAAAGACTAACGAGACGCGTCAAAGCCACACACTTTAATTCATAATCAAAAATAAATAAATAAATATTTTAATAAAATATACTCAGGTTATTTGTTTGTAACATTATATTGTACATTTTCTACACACTAACTGCTTATGATCGATATGTTACGGGTAAAGTAGGAAATCCGTGCACTATATAATACAATGAGAATCATTATTTTAATACTCAAATTGGTCATACCTATATTATATTGACCGGGCAATGTACTAGATTGCCTTGACAAAGTGTACCCTGATCCTGTCCAGATTCAAGTGGGCAAAATAAATTAAATACAGCATGCTGCAYAAATTTATATCGAAAACACGAACCTATATC